CTAGACCAAAATTTTGATTTTTGCGAGCCCCGACTTCGTTAACCCGAACACGCTGTCTACGGTTTCTTTCACTTTCTCTCGAAGGATATCACAAAACTGAGTATGGTGGAACGTACGAATGTGCGACAAAACGCTACGTGACACAATTTAGTGTTCACCAGGCCGATTTAGCTCTTGGGCTAATATCCTGTTATGTACTTTCACGCGCCGCTGCCGTTTATATTCGAGTACCAGGATTATCACGCATCATACGTCGCTCTTGTCAATAATTGACTATCGCTACGCTAAAGACGTTGTTGCGCTAGCGTATCAATAGAATCTACAATGTATCCAGATGCCTAGCTACCTTAAAGGGACACTCCGGTCGAAAACGAACCCAAAATAAATTACTGATATCGCTTTAGTGGCACGAAATATGATTACAGCCGAAATATTACATCATATTGAAGCCGCGTCCTCCACTGAAACCGAGTTTTAAAAATAGGACCAGCTGCTCTTCAGCGGGCGGCGAGTGGTTTAGCTTTTAGTTAAGGAAGACTCGCGCAGCAACCTTGTGACACCACGTCGCGGCTGTTCGGCTGTTGATCAGTGTTGCCATCCCTAACCCTCTAGCAAATAGTTTCGGTTTGGCTGAAGACGCCCGAAACCGAACTTTGAGCCGTGATATAAATAAAACTACACACAATATCGAGAAAGAAATTATTCCTTGTACTTCAGAGACACTGCTTTAGTTGAAAAAGGGTCGTAATCTCAAGTTCAAATATATTGGGCGGGGTCGCCTTTTAACTTCGACCTCGAAAAATATCAAAGAACGCAGTGTGACACTACGAGTCTTCGTGGTATAATGAGATTGCTCCCATTTGGGGGGTTTGGGGGGGGGGGGGGGGGGGGGAGGTCGGGTCAGTCGGGATGCGCAATCATTTCGATTTAAAACGAAACGCTCGCGAGGGCGCCGCCGCGAAGAGTTTAAAATCGAACTCGGGGCTTCCAAGTGTAACAAGAAACAAATCGAGACGTGTATGTCGGAGTTCCGCTCTACCAAAAATCCTGATTCCAAAGGAGCAACGGTGAAATAAACCAGCCAGGCGAACATATACTTTCAATTTCCGCGAAAATGCGTTGCGAATCGGTTTACGGCCCTGCGTGACCTCTCTGTTCTCTCGCAGGGAGTCGTAAAAAATCGAAGCACGATACTCGGTGGCCGACGAAAATCACTCCCGAGTTATGACCCACGACCTGGAACAACGCCGAGCGCTGCAGACAACGAGACACAGAAAAACGAGCGGCCGTTTTCGTTTCTGCGCGCCTTTGTTTACTTTCAGGTCTTTTATCGTTCGGTAGAAAAAGAGAGATCAAGGCCGCTATATACGGAGCGAGGCGGAACAGCAAAGGCAGCATTATGTCCCTCGCTATTTTGTGTTTCGGCAAACCTACGCCTTCACGCTGGTTGCTCCATCCGGCCCGCTTTAATTGGGAGTCGAGTCCCAGCGGAATTTCTTTCGGGACGGTCACTTCCCGGGGGCACCGATAGGGGAGGGGGAAGTGACCGCTGCCAAGCAGCTGCGCTTCCTTCACTAGACTGGGCCTTTTTATGCCTTTCACTTGTCGGCGTGCGTCCTTGTGCCTTCCGTTTGTGTTTCGCTGGACTCGGAAGCCGTCGTATTTGTAAAGATCGCCGCTGCGACGCACCTCCTCCCCTCCCCCCTTCCCCCACGGCGATAAGTGGCTCCCCATAAAGTTGGTGCTGTTCTGCGGTGATGCTATTTTCGCGGCTTCCTCCCCGATGTGACGGCTGTGTACGCATCACGCGCGCACACACACAAAAAGCTGCTAGCATCGAGTGGACAGTCGATGAATAGACGACCCTCTCCCCGCGGGCGATGGAAAAGCAAATAACGCTGGATCGCTGAACTAAAACAAACGCAAAAAAAAAGGAATCGCGCGCAGAAGGATGGCGACGCTCATCGAAAACGAAAGCCCCTTGGAGCGTCAAGAATGATTGGACCGTGAAGGCTGTGATAAGCTTGGCCCCCGAGAGGAACGGCATGTGCGCTCTTGGCCGCGCTGGACACCGCTCCGCCTAATGACGCCAGCCTTCATCTATCGTGACACCTCAGCCGCTTTGTGTGACATACAGCTGTATTCGTTCTGAGGTGGTGACTACAGGGAGCGGTTAATGCTAAACTTCTTGTGCCTTTGGGAAGGGGGGGGGGGGGGGAGGGGCCGGGAAAAGGGGGGGGGGGGGCGAGGCGAGAGGAGAGGGAGCTGTTTGTACTCGGGTTCAGTCTCTCTAGACTCTGAGCGATGCACCTATTGGTATGTTGTGGCCAATCTGCGCATACTGGGTCATTGTGTTTGTGGGTTGTTTCCGGGCCACAGTGGAGGTCCAAAAGTTTGTGTTCTTATCATTTCCTGCAGCTGTTCTTTTTTTTAAAGTGAAACATAGTGTTTCATTTTTGTTTTGTGGCGTGTAAAACATGCGAATGGAGTCCTTCCTTACACTGCCTTTGTCGGGCGACACGTGGCCGATCCGTATAAACAAAACATTTTTTATCCGTTAGCAACTCTGCTGTAAAGTAGCGGAATCATAAGCGGTAAATAAAAATTGGTTGCATGTTTGGTCATTCTTCCAGACGCGTCTAAATGCGGTAGCTTTGTAGGGTGGGTGGTGCTTTTAGTTCGGATGGTGCGTCAAACAAGATCTCCCTTAGACCTTCAGTGCCTGGGGTGGGTGGTGTTCTTAGTTCAGGCGGTGCCTAGGTCAGAGCTTTTTACATAAACATTACGTCACACCATTGTCTGTCTGAGACTCTGTGCGATTTTTTCTTCAGCGCCACCCGCATACAAAACATTCGCGCTGAATGTTTTGGGTCACCAAGAGTGGGGAAGTGCTCTTTCCAAATTCCAGCCCTTTCCACTCCATCTTGTTCCGCGCACTCTTTGTACACCACCTGTTTCCGCTCACCTCTTTTTTCCCGTTTCCCCATTTCCGCTCCGCGCGCTTTCTCGCACCACCTGTTTCTGCTCCCCCCGTTTCTCCTTGCTGGGTACGCAGCTCAGTCACCAGCGCACTCGGCCTCCACGTCGCTGACCAAAGTGCAATCCCTGGCAGGGGGTTCCGTTTTCTTTTCTTTTTTTCTCTTCTTTTTTAAAGGTGGTTTTGCGGTTACAGATTGACCAACCCACACATCTCGTGCTTGCGCGGTTGCTGAGGTTGGTGGGCCCGATAAAGCTACTACTTCAAAAGTGTGTCACAGAAATAGAAAGGGAAGGACGGGTCACTATTTCCGTAATGCAATACACGTTTTGCTCAACTGCTATTTTTTATATAGCCTTCGCAACAACTTATACATTATTATTAATTATGTCTATTCTATTCATTCGTTTTCGGTATTTTCTTTCCTTGTGGATGCTCGAAAATATCTGTAAATTGCGCATCCCACGGCACTCTCGTAGGAGTAGACCACAAGCACGCTGCGTTCCTGTACACGAACGAGAGAACACTGTACACCCTCCCGCCTTCTAGGCGTATGTTCTTTCCGCGCATCAAAAGGGACTCGCTTCGCTGACGATAGCTTACACTTAAAGCAGAGTAAAAAAAAAAAGAACTATGTGTATAAAGGTAATCTAATTTTTCGACCCCCTAAAATGCCGGAGCAACATGGGAGACTTTTATATCTCCTTTCGGTCGGGGGAGACCCAGGAGAGTGGGTCGCCTGTAACCTACTCCCCTAACATTTGGCGCTCGCCTTTCTTGGCCCGAATTTGAATATTTCAGCGGGCGCCGGCGCTCTTCTTTAGAATTTTCTGCTCCGAAATGTTGTTAGGGGGTTCGACACCGTCGTGCTGGCAATTTTAGCAAGAAGCCGGAGACCCTCGGCGCCATACTGGCGTGTTTGTTTGCCTGTTGGTCTGGAGGTGCATCCCGCTTCACTGCGAGTGTCTCCGGTCGCCGTCGTTTTCAATTTTGGTTTTTGTGCTCGCGTAACTCGCACAGCGCTCAAAGGTGCGCGGTTACGAGCACTTCGCCACTCTGCCGTTATCAACGCTGTGTCTATGTGCCGAAGTAGAAAGCTCTTTTCGTTGGGGCTTCCGTGAAAATGACGGCACTTGACAGAGTCGCGCTTTTGGGCCTTTATCCTTAATCGCGCTGTACTCCGTTTTCTCGACTTTTTTCTTATTGGTTTGTTTTACTCATGCGTATTTGCTGCTTAGTCACCGAGAAGATGGGGACGGTTCGGCGTGTCTTTCGAACTGCCAACATCCAGCAGGCGTTTTGCCCTCCGTCGTGCTTTGGTTGCGCGTGCACGCTCGGGGCCCACGAAACGCCGAACCGTTGTCGAAGCTCACGCCTGGATGCGGGTGAACTCTTCCCTGTCATTTTCTTAGTCACACGAGGGATTGCTTGGAGGGTTGAAGTATTTTAATACAAAACATAATATAAACAGACGAGGAGAACGCTTTTACTTAACCAGTGAATGGAGGTTGTAAGCTCCGGTGTGTCTACCGCAAAACAGGGCGACTTCTTGAACAAGAAGACGCCATTTGTACTTCCTGCCTCAGAGCGTACCAGCGGTACGCAATTTTTGCGTTCTTGCGGAACGTCGGGTGGTTAGCGGCACCTTTCGGTACGAGCCCGATTTTCCGTGGCTCTAACCGAGAAAGCTCCCTCAGCTGCCTGTCCCTGCCAGGTCTTTTCCTGGCTTCTCGCCGACTCCCGCGAACCTCGAGACCGGTGGCATAAAAGGCGGGGGCCTCCCAACGGCGGCCCCGCCGCTGGGACTCCGAGGATGAATAAGTAAAGGCGATTAAAGCCGTTTCCCGTCGGCGATCGGGCAGCTGCGAAGTGGCTATCTGTGTACCGCTTAATTCGGGCACTCGGACTCTTCTAATGAGGACCAATGGCCAGAGTGCCGTTCTTGCTCGACCCCGCGTTTCGCTCCCCGCCTTGTCGGTGCCCGAAACGCCCATTGATTGCGCCTTTCTTTCCCTCCGGACAGGGGCCTCGCTGCGAGGACGGTCCATGTCCAACTTCGCCGTGGACATCTTCGAACAGCACCAAGGCACGCACATCTTACAGGTGAGCGGCGCTGTCCTTTGCATCCTCAGATGCCCGCCGGTCCGGTACTTTGACTGCGGCACACTGCGTGCTCACCTATAGACAAGCACTTGGCCCGTAGCCAAGGCCGCTCCAGAGTCGCTCAATAACTATACTCGAAGCTGGGTCTAGCGCTCAGCTTACTGCTGAGCGCTAGACCCAGTTTCATTCTTTCATTGTTTGTTTGTTTGTTTGTTTGTTTGTTTGTTTGTTTGTTCGTTTTGTTTTTACGGGCTTATGAACGGCTGATGTCGCCTTCGTAATGGTGCACTCCAAGAACTGTAGAAATTAGTCAGATACAACATAAATGCTCCACCATTTTACTTAAACACGCCAATATCCACCGACCCGATTATACAAGCATTGTAAGCGGGCCATGGAGTCAATGAGAATACATGGATTTGCAAAGGAAGTAAGAGAAACTTGCAAAAATTGTCTCGGAACCTGAACGTAAAAGTAAATAGCTGGCGTGAGATCAGGAAAATCACTTAATTCACGGAGGCATAAAATATAAAATCTCGCGGATGTCGTAAAAGAACTCAAACTAGGACGAATTGTTACAAAAGTGGTAGATTAATAGTAAACAGTGTAACCAATATATTTATCATAAAATATTTAAAAAAAAAAAGCGTCTTTGAATGCTTTCTGTTATCTTTTGACTCTGAATACGGTTACAGACAACAAAGGAAAACTCCCGTTTAGCTCAAATTAACAAAAAGTATGGCCATAATATGCAGGCTTACGTAGAAAACTCGCGCTTAATTTTGAAAATTACACGCGACGCACGAAAGGAGGCGGCGATGATATTTATTATTAACGTGTACCTTAAGAATAAAAGACAAGAGTTCATATATACAACAAGATCATTGGTGCCCGCAACCCTTTGCAACAAAACATTGTCAAGCGGATAACAAACATTCGTAGGTCCAACCGATAAAGGCACTAGGACATTTTTAAAAGAATTAAACGTCAACATGTTCCGACACCACAAATTAAGCACCGTGTATCAACATTTTGATAATCCCCCAATAATGATATTTCTCGAAACAGGTTCATGTCATCTCCATATTAAAAAGTTACTGAATGCTGAAAACATGAATTTGTGTATTTTATTAAAACATTGTAAAACATGATTTTAACTATGTACCCCTGAGACGCACCCAAACGCGAGACATAAGGTTGGGAGTGCCGTCCAAGAGAACGCAGAAAATGTTCTCTACTGGGTTCCGATTTTTGTCACAGCGAGAGCGAGATCTAGTTTGCCTCTCGCGGAGGGACCTTAGATGTCCTTCGGAAGCGGTTTGTCGGCTAACGCAGGAGAAGAACGCGCTTCGCCTGTTACGAAGTGTCATTTGCGGAGGGAAATAAAGCAAGAAAGCGGCGTACATCGTTCAGAAAAAAAGTTGATCGAGTGCTAGGAACCGCGTGCTGAGGCGGATCGAGATCGGACGCGGGCCGAAATTATGATCGTCTGCTATTTCACGTTAGAAGCCACTGACAACCCGCGCTTCCTTTGCAAACCTAAGGTTGTTCCGCTGCCCTAAGCAAGCTGACATCAACCGGTGGATGAAGGAGTACTCGAACAAGCACATCAGAGGTTGCGAGACCTTTCTCACTATTTATGTATTGGTGAGACGTTCTTACCGATATATTGCCGAATTATGAACTCGTAAACAGACCAAAAATTCCTAATTGTTTTATTACGCGCAAGGTGTGAAGCCACGTCCAATCAGCAGCCTAGAACGCTCTCGCTCTCATCTTGACCAAAATCGGAACCCTGAACAAGTAATCGAGAAACGATGCAAAGCTGAGTACTCTCAGCGTCAGATCAAAGTTTATGTATAAGCATAGCCTCCTCTATTCTCGCAAAGCCTGGCAGATCGCTACGAGACGCGGACGCCGAAATTGAAAAGGTGGAACGACAGACAAGAGTCATGTAACAAGCGTCCCGTCGCGGCGAGACGCCGAAACACACTTGTCCCGAGGGATGGAATGTCCGCCCGTACTCCTCGCGTTCCTCGGGCTACCGCTTCTTTTCTCGTCCGGTTTGAAAACCATGTTTCGGGTCCTCGCCGCTGCAAAAGCTGTACGCCGAATACCACACGCACCAAGAAATGCTCTATGCTACCAGATCTTCGCGCTCGAAATCTGCGACCGGGCACTCTATGGCTCTGTCATCGAACTGCCAGGCTTTGAGAATATACAGGAGTCTATGGTATAAGTAAAGGATGATCATCCGAGTCAAAGACATTTAAAAGATCGAAATACATTACTTGTATTCACGCTGACAACACAAATGACGATACAAAATGTAAGAATCGTTCAATATTTGTCCTTACTAATTTTCTACACACAGAGTCGCGTTGCATAGAGGTAATCCTAGATTTAAGAAATATCTGAAAGTGTTCGATCAAGATCATTTCACCGGCCCAATTATTTTTCTTGTTTCTAATTTAGAGTAAATTGACCATATAAAGCACAATATGCTTGACACTTATATGCAAAAAAAAAAAAAAAAATTCAGACGCGCGGCGCTTACTAGTAATGGCAACAGATTGCGCCTGCGCTGAACGGTTTCTTTCGAAAGGCTCCCCGGAAGGGAGCCCGGCTACGACGAACCGACCGCGTATTTGCTTTAACAAACGCTCGCTTTTGCTGAAGAAGCGAGACCGACCTGTGGAACAGGAAAAAGAATAAAAAAGGCCAACTTGTTTTTAGTATGTATATATATATATTTATACACAAAAATAAAAACAATAACTCGTGCAAGCGGCAGTTCTGTAGGGAGAAACACGACGTGCAGCCGTCGAGCTGCGCTCGCCCAAATATTTGGCCAGAAACTCTGTCTGCGGCACGTGACTGGAATGAGCGACAAGGCTGCCTCTTCGGGCACTTCTCGCCGTTGCCCTCGCCCGCCGCGGATAGCGCACGCGCGTGTTTGTGTTGTCAAGTCTGGGGCGGGTGCAGCGCCCCGGGCTCCCTCCGAGTGTTTGAATCCCAGATTGGGGGCTTCGAGGCAGTCGTCGGAGATAGCGTCTGCGTCGCTGCAGCGTCGCAGGCGCCTTGAAACGCGGACACCAAAAGGCTCCAAACTCAAAAATACGGGCCACGCGCGCGCATGCTGCGAGGCATACTGAGTAGGTCTTTCTGTCGCCTTTTTTTTTTTTTTTTCTACGTTTCTGTATAAATTTGTTTCCTCTCGTTCATTCTGTCAAATCAGATTTTTTTCTTCCACTTGCTTGGTTTAGAGGTGGGCTCGAATTTCGTGTGTATGCCAAACAATCCTTGATTGAAATAAGGGCAATGGCGCAGGCTAGCTGATGAACGATTAGACTCATACTTATAAACCCCGAGAAAGGGGAACAAAAAAAAAAAAAAACGAGAAAGAAAAAGGGGCACAACACAACGACGTCTCAATTTTAAGATGTGGTTGTGTTGTCCCCGTTTTTTTTTTTTGTTTTTTTTTCTATTGCTCTGTTCCTTTGTCTAGGGGTTTCTAAGAATTTGTTGATATAGTTGTTTTCTTTCTTACAATATGTAAGCTGTCATAATATCTACTATTTTTCCAGCCCTCTGGGCGGGTATTTTCATTTATTCTAGCTGTGAGGCAGACAGAATCGACACTGTCTGAAGAGGTATATTTTAGACAAACACTGTCTGCAGACCAAAAGCGCCTAGCATGCACTTTGTTTTTCAATTGCTTCCTGAAATCCTCTCAAATTGCTTCTTGAAATCAACAAAATAATGACAGTAGTCAGTGTTGAAATTGAGTGATTGACTTTATATGCTCCGATAGAGAGTTAGCTGCTTGTCTTTCGTTTTGTCAGGGCTACCACGTTATTGAGTAAATAGACTGAGGAATTCTCCACGAGGCAACGTCAATTGTTTGTAGTCGTGTCATGTTTTGAAGCGTACTATAAATAGGTTGTAATTGTCTTTTTTTTTTACAGAGATCTTTAACAGATCATTCGTGGCGTAAAAAAGACACTAACCTTTTTTTTTCTTATTTTTTCCTGTTTTTTTTTTTTTTTTGTGGTGACGATTAACCTATACTGGGTGTAAGAGACTCGAGCTGTGGTTGCTATTCCAACAGTGAGAGCACGTATTCTTTAGCTTATAGCCCTGGTGTCACAGTATACTTTTTTAGGTGACGCTTCGCCTTAGCATTGACGCTTTTTTTTAAAGAGGTGTTCAATTATCTGCTAAAAATTTTTTTTTGTATTTTTTTCAGTCTTTAGATGGTTTCACCTTCGCGCTGGGAGCAGACGGAAGGTTCTTGTACATTTCCGAAACAGTATCGATATACCTTGGACTGTCTCAGGTAAGTTGATGACTGCGGTCTTTTAAGGACGTATTTGTGGAGCCCCTTTTGACCCATAAAGATTTGTTTGAATGCGAAGTTATTTCTTACAAAAGAGTGGGAAGGCGGGCGAGCTAGTGGGAATTCCAGATAGTAAACCCCAGACAGTGGCGTACCAACTTGTTTTTGAGGGGGGGGGGGGCACACCAGGCCCCCCCCCCCCCCCCCTATGCCCCAAGGCCGGGGGGCGGTGCCCTTGGTATCGCTCGGGCGCAGCCGGCCAGTGTCTGTCCTGCCCAGTGGCGGCTGTTTCGGCGGCGGGGGGGGGGGGGGGGGGGGGGGGGCAAAACGCATGCCTTGCTTCCCACTCTGAGAACTGGCGGGGGAGGGGCAAGCGCCCCCCTTGCCCCCATAGTTGGTACGCCCATGACCCCAGACGAAGGACAAAACAGAGAGAGCACACCCACACAGCACGCAACTTTTAGCTATCGTAATATTCCGAGAGATTCTTCATTCCCGAAAGATAACTCACCCCTATTTTTGACGGATGTGCTAATTTCGAGAAACGCGGGAAGATAGCCCACTTCTCGGAATCGCAGGGCCCTCTCCAATGGCGACCTTGGCAGAAATGGTGTTACTTAGCCACAATAGGAGATAAGCGAACATTGCCGACTGGGACGCACAGTCGTCTTCGGTTCATTTCCCCTCCCTGCGATCGAAAGTTTCGCAAGTCACAGAATCAAAAACTATCTATTTTTCTTTTACTTTTTTTTTATCGCGCACCGAAAGTTAGCCCACTCCATATTTTTATGCCAATTGCTTTCAATTTTAGGTGCGCTATCTCTCGGGATATTACGGTAGTAGAATTATTAAATTGTGTCCTTTTTTGTGTCGGTCTTTAGTACGTCTGAGCGAGTGTATTTTTATATCGAAAGAAGCAATTATTGTTTTATTTAATCTATCCAACTTTTTTTCAGAGTTTCGCACTTGTGAATTGTCTTACGTGACATCGCTCTGGATAGCCTAAAATGAAAACCAGACAAAAATTGTCTTTTGTAATGTCATTTATCTTCGAGCCGCCTTGGCTTCACGGCCGCGACTCACATAAGTTGGCCCCATGGTCCGTCTGCGAATGCCGTCAGAACATGGGCAATGCAGTGTTCCGTGTAACGATAGGAAAAAGAAATTCCCAAGGCGTTCGGTGCATGCCGTTGCTCTGGGGACGAGCTGGCGACGCCAACGAGCGTGTATTGGCTGGTCGGTGCTAGTCAAAGCCGTATATAGAGAGAGTTTGGTCAATGGGAGGAGCGGGCCAAGAGCGGGTAGAGCCAGGGCGTGCATCACAAGCTGATAGATTGCTGGATATGTTCTCTTGACCAACAGAAGCCGAAAATAATCCCTTAGCGGTGGTAGCGAGAAAAAGTTTTAATAAGTGCGTAAGTGTTAAATGTAGTAACTCTTTATGGTTGAAAATATGATGCACGTGGTGTTTCGATCATGATCACGCAAAAAGATTTAAGAAATGAATGTGCCGCTCATACTCTCTTTTGCTCGGACAAAGTTTGACCGTTCGGACGGCAGATGCCCGGACATGGGCGCCTGGCGTACGGATGACGTCGATCTCTGCTAGTAGTGCATGTTTTTTTTATATATTTCCTATGTTTATATATCTTCCACCATTATTTTGCACGCCGTGATCGAAACATCGCGTGCATCATATTTTCAGCCACTCACAGTTACTCCGACGTACTTAGTAATTTTGTTTCTTGCGACCACCGACAGGGTATATTCGCGGCTTCTGGTTGGCCATATTCGAATTTGTGAAGGCTTCCTGGAACACGCCCAGTCCGCTTTCAGCCAATGGCACCTCCTCGTTGGCCTCCTATACTTCCCAGTGAACGGCCAAACTCTCTCTATATACGGCTCTGACACTATATAATTGCGCACAGGAAAACGTAGTATGTACTGGGTGTTTGTGAGAAATCCTAACCCGGCGTTTCGCACCGAAAAAATAAACTAGACATCGCGGAGAGCTCAAACTCCGTCAGAATGTAACCCCAGCCGTTCGAGCAAGATGCCGAAGCTTCAGCACCAGCCGTTAGCTTATTCAAAAGTTATAAGTGATTTTTTGAAATTTTCAATGGGAAAATGGGGCTCATTTTCGCCCGTTTTCAGTTTCTTGCGCCATAGAGCTCCATCTATTCGAGATCTCCGTCGGCCCGCATTTTTTCATTGAAATTTCCAGAAAATTGTTTATAAATTTTGAATAAGATAACAGTTGGTGTTGAAACTTTGGCATATTGCTTGAACGGCTGTTACTACGTTCTGACCGAGTTTGAGCTCTCCGCGATGTCTAATTTATTTTTGCGCTGCGAAAAAACGGGCTCGGATTTCTCACCAACACCCTATACGTTCGCGGATAATATGATCCGCAGCAGTCCTTCGTGCTTATTTTACTCGCCTGCTTTAAAATAACCGTGGTTCAAACTAGAAATGAAAAACTAAATTGAGGTCCCATACTTGGGATTATTTGACAATTGAGAGATAAAATGATGCCGAAACGGCTGCTGTCACTACGTTGATACTCAACGAAATGCGTCAGCATTTAGCACAGACTCGGCGAAGGATGGGAATTCCATCCTCGCTACGGTCCGCATACTGTTGTCTTCGGAGAGCCAGACTCCCGGGCGTCGGCGGTTTCGGATGCAGCCACCACAGCTTCCCTCGATGGCCGCCCATATAGAGTTATAATAATTTTAATTGATTTATCTTCCACGCCCTAAATTACGTAAGAGGAGTCGACAGCGATGCGTCATTTGAAGCGTGCTACGAGACGTTTTCACCCTTGTAAGAGGGAAAGTGGAAGTAACAAGCGAACGGGACTAAAGAACACGGCGACAACCGTGCCGCGGCCTTACAACGCCAGTCGAGTTCAAACCAAAACCGGCTGCATGCACCATAGAGTTATTATAATGTACGCTAGAGGTTTAACTGGCGCTAGTGTGGTGCTGCAAATTGAAACAGACAGCAACCAGTCTGAAATTGACTTCCGGTAATGCTTTTCTGTGGGAAAAAGCGACTGCATTTTCTTTCTGCGCTCCACTATAAGAGCAAATATCACGAATGATTTGTACGTACTAGGCACATTGGAATATTTCTCAGTCACGCAGACGAAATAATTGGTCAGTTACGGCGTTTTTATTTTAAATTAGTGGCATGAAAAACTGTGCTAGAACTGCTTCGCACATGTATTTATGTGCACTGTCGGACACTGTTAGCGCGAACACGGCGTCGGCGCTTTCTAGCGTGGGGGATATACGTGCCAAACGAACGAAGGACATGTGGAAAACTAAGAGAGACTGAAAGAACTACGCTGGAACACTGGATAAGTAACTCGTTGTGCACGCAGATGATCAAAATAAATTGAAAGCCACGTAATATAGTCCGATTTCCAATAAATAAGTACTGTTTTATTCTTTCTGCTCGTGAATATGTACAAAGATGCTTGTTCTGGGTTCAAATGATCACTCGCACGCTCTAAATCTTTAAAAGTAGGGAGAAGCCAGAGAACAGGTGCCCGATTAAAACTGCCCGACATAGGAAATAATAAAAAGACACACCTTTTGTAGCCCATGTACTTTATTTTTTTACGTCCAAATGTTTTTAAACCGATCATAAAGATGAGCACCGACGGGGTCAATTTCATATAATGACAGGCTTATATATTAGCAACATATAAGCGCCGCCGGAATGCTAGTTAACCTTGAACACACTCTACATTCCTTTCGATGGTCATTTTGCTTAGAATCGTCGCTCGTTTTTACATACCTGCCATGGTACAGAGATTTGGGCCTGAAATACAGCGACGTTTAACATCGTTCAGTGGTAAAGAAAAATGCTGTAACTAAAGCAGTTACGCTTTCCCAATATTAATAAAGGTATATACTATCCGGTACAACCGAAATAACAAAAGTTATTCATGTTATTTTCTGTCGAAGAGACAAAATGCACGCGTGTTTTCCCATAGGGATGCACAGGAGCACTGCAAAAGTTGACTGGCTGCTGTCTGCTTCAATTTGCCTCCCGGAAGTCGCGTAGGCACTGGCACCAGGTGAACCTCTAGCGTACGTTATAATAACTCTATGGCATGATTGGGGCAGTAAATGCTAACGCATTTCATAGAGCTCGCGGAGACCGCAGACGATGACGATCGTCTGCGGTCGCTAAAAAGACCATATCGGGTGTTTCAGCTAATATTACTCTCGGGGGTAATATGAGCGGTCGCGCACGCTGTGTCCTCATGGGGGTTTCTTGCGCGGCGTCAGGTGGAGATGACGGGCAGCAGCGTCTTCGACTACATCCACCAGCAGGACCACGCAGAACTGGCGGAGCAGCTCGGCATCAACCTGTCCCAGTCGTTGTCGTCCCCCTCCGGCGGGTCGGGAGGCTCTGACGACGGATCCTCCACTCCGAACTCTTTGGACAGGCCAGGTACCCCCGCCGCAGCTGCTGCTACACGCGCCTATGCACGCGCCACACAAATAAGGAAATCTTGTTAATGTAATTACAGTTAGATAAGACCGGGGCACAGAAAATAAGAAAATACACACCGAGGTCGCGCTTCCGTTTTTTACTTAGGTTTCTTTTTTGTCTTCAGTCACGTTTCATGAGCTAGATTGTACCACAACTCTTCTCTCATTCAGACAAGTTTTAAACCTTCCCGTTGGCGCGCATTTTTTTAGAGCGTAGCTCTTAGGGGCCCGTTCCCGGCTTGAGCGGCGTCGGCGTAACCAAGGTCATCCCAAGGTCACGTGACCCCCAGAGGTCACGTGACCCCTCCCCCAGGGTCACGTGACCCCCAAAGTCACGTAACACCCCCCCCCCCAAGGTCATGTGACCTCCCCGATGACGTCATCGTCACTGATGACGTCACCGGCATCCGCATCGTCATCGTCATCATCACTGATGACGTCATCAGTGACGTCACTGATGACCTCACCGGCATCCGCATCGTCATCATCACTGATGACGTCATCAGTGACGTCACCAGCATCCGCATCGTCATCGTCATCATCACGGATGACGCCATCAGTGACGTCACTGATGACGTCACCGACATCCGCATCGTCATCGTCATCATCGCTGATGACGTCATCGGAGTCCGCATCGTCATCGTCACTGATGACGTCATCAGTGACGTCACTGATGACATCATCGGCATCGTCACGTGACCCCCCAAGGTCACGTGACCCCCCCCCCCCAGGTCACTTCACCCCCCCAGTACCCTTTCCCCCTCCTCCTCAAGAGCTGCGCTCTAATTCGGTGTTACAGGGAGTTGTAAACGGCTTTCACTTTTTTTTTCGTTTCTTATATACTTTATGGCCTTTTTAAACTAGCCCTAGCATGTACCCGCTTACTCCAGCTATGTAGAGAAGTTCGAGATAACTCCTTCTTTAATCTTGGAATAAGAATCGCATCGACATCATGTGGACATGCCGATCAAGCTGTTGTTATTCGTTGAATATCACAGAGATAAAGCCTGCGAGAAAGTTGTGCATCAGTTTGCTTATGCTCCCTTTTAACACTTCTATCATCTCTATGAAGTATTTTGCAAATTGACGCTTTTTACTTACTTTTATTTTTAGCTGTAAGATATGAAGGGATTGCCTGTGTTGTCTAGATAGAGAAGGCCGCTTTTATATTATCAAAATGGCGTAATCATGCTTTGTGACGCAACGTGTACTCTGAGCTCCTAATGGGCAAGTATATTTACGTTCATGATTTAGGAAATCCCTGAGACAGGGGTTGTCTTGTTGTTTCCTCTGTCTCAGGGTTGTTTTAAATCGTGAACGTAAACCAGCTCACCTGCACCTTATCACTCATTTCAATATTTACATCCTGCTGGAATCTCGACAGAGTCCTCAAGTTAATTTCTTGATCGCATGATTAAAAATTAAAACAGCGCAAGGACACGGACAAGAACAAGAAGGTAGACGAACATTATACATAAAAATACAATATAAAGACATTAAAAAAGACATTATACACAAGTATAATGTCTTTAGAGTTGTGTCAGGTCACCTTGACCTGCATTGCGGTGACTGCTGCTGCACTCCTGTCTTCGACAAGTGTAAAGTGATTAGGAAAAAAAAAAGACGAACTCACTCGAGAAATCATTGAGGCGCTGGAAATTGGAAAATTGGGGGAAAACTGTGGTCAGCACCCCTTCAATATGTTTATCCGAAAAGGAATGTTTCTTTCTAGACACACAGTGACAGCGCATAATGGTGGCTAAGGAGCACGTGGCGTCCATTACACGTATTTTATCTTTATTTGTGTGTCATGGACGTTACAGTATTTATACTTGATGTTAGCACGAATAAGCTTTTGTTGTAAGTCAGCGCCTTGTTCGTCTACCTTCTTGTTCTTGTCCGTGTACTTGCGCTGTTTTAATTTTTATTCATGAAATATTAACTATCCCAAACTTCTATGTTATTCTTGATCGCATTTTGATTTTTGCCCGCGTCGCCTGTGCAGCCCCGGTGATGACTCTCAGTGGCAGCACAGCCTACAAGGGTCTGGAAAGGTCCTTCTGCGTACGCATGAAGTCAACTCTTACGAAGCGAGGCTGCCACTTCAAGTCGTCGGGATACCGGGTCAGTCCACGTCTCGGAACCCTTTCGGGTCCCTCCGAGAGAATGCTCCCTCTTTCGCTCTACTACATCTATATTAATATAAGAAAACAGGAACTGTCATGAAACTTGAGATGAATTAGGAACTTCTCAGGAAGGATGGACAAAACTAAATAGTCAGTCAGATCTGCGGGAGTGTTATTTTACGTCTGATTGGCCCTACCGAAGGAAAAAAAAGACATATGCAGCCATACGATCCATATTCCACAAAAAACAATAGAAATGCCTATATAAAAAAGAAATTTGAAAATTAAGTAGATTTATTAGCGTACTTCACAATTTTATATCGTTAAAAACTATCTTTCTTACCTCAAACACGCATTATACACATAGTTAGAAGACACAAAACTAGTGTCAGTAGTCTGCGCTTCATATACTTAATTAAAATATCGCTCATTGAACCGTGATTACAGACACGCGGAAGGAAATAATTTCATTTATATGCCATCTAAAAAAAACAGCGTCGAATGGACCCCTGCCTTCTTCACAAAAAGAGATTCATATACTGTAAACGACTTAATTTTCGCGAGGACCTAATTTTCGCGATTTTCGAGAATCGCCTACGATTCGCGAAAAATAGGTCCCTCGAACAATTACGGTAAAATGTAAATACATTGGAATCTATATTGAGATCCCACCGCGACGCGAAAATTAGAACCCCCCAAATTGTTCAAAAACTTCAGCTTTGACCTAAAACGCAAAATATTGAGCCCGCGAAAAATAAGTCGTTTACAGTATGTTATATGATTTTTACATCTAGTATTAAAAGGCACAACTCGTTTAAGTGTATATTGTTTATATATATATATATATATATATATATATATATCTTTGTGTGTCTGTGTGTGTGTGTGTGTTCGTGTGGATCTAGGATATATAAACACAAGTTTCTAAAAAAAAAATAGAACATCGATATTAGTTGAGCGGTTAGGTTTTTTTTATCAAATCCTTACCGTGTTCCGCGTACCGCACTACCGGAGCCTTTGAAGCGTGTTTATAAACGCGCGCCCGGGTAAAACCGTGACAGCGGGGCGCGCGCTTAAAATCATGCTTCAAAGGTTCCGGTAGTGCGGTACGTGGAACAGGGTAACGGTTTGCTCAAAGGCTCTACTGTCTGAAAAACAAAGACATAAGTCTTATTTGCCCCTTAGAGGGGAAAGAGCAGGAGCGTGACAGTTTTAGTAGATGGTATACCCATCGATCTAGTGAACGCACGATGTCGGTCTTCCGAGGAAAGGGCTCGTCCTCGCACCCCTACTATGCTCTTCACAGTGCTCCATACCAAAGTTGAACGGAGCGCAGTGCCAATATTTCCTCGGTAGGTATAATGGCATAGAATCGCGCTGTCAATCTGATATTCATTGGTTGTCATAACTCTTTTTTCTTTCGCTGATCAGTGTTTTGAAAAGCTACAGTAAACTATACGTTGTAAAAAAAGTGCAAAACTATTTTTTAGCAAAATGGGAAACTTTTTGGCGACCAATTTATACCGACAATGGAGAGACCTTGAAGCTTTGCGCATTGCTGTTTTGCGCGTGCTAGCAGAGAGCTCTCGCCACGCTCGTTCTTCGCTATAGTTGTTGTCCTGATATCTCGGCCTTATGACCCCATATAAGTACCTTGTAGAGACAAATACAGAGCCCTTCTGCGCCTCCGTCACCGTCGTCATGCGTGCTGCCTTAGAGCATCGTACATCGCTCTGGAATTTTCCGGCACGATACATAAGAGTGCTAGCACAGACTGAACTGAAATGCTTTCGGAAGCCATTTTGGCACGCTGTTGTCGTCCACCTTCCCGGAAGAAAATTAATGTTTTTTTTCACGTACAGCCTCATGCACATAATCAATGGGTGACTGAAATAAAATAAATGATTCCATGAAATAAGAATAAAAACAGCCTGAAAAAAAAATAACGAGCGGTAAAAATGTTGTGATGTATATTTGAAACAAGAGGCGACGGAGGAAAAAAAAAAAGGACAGCAGGTAACGGGTCAATAACCACAGCTGACTAAATTTAACTCGTCAGCTGGGGTTGGGTTATGTACGCCTCTCCCACGTAACCTTTCCCGATTTGACGCATATTCCTGCGGCATCCCGCCACGAAGTTGCAATGTTTTCATTAATAACTTTGAATGTCTTTCGCTCGCACGGCTATTTAATGTACCGCGCAAGTCTCCGCATCCAGGGTGTCGTGATTGTTTCCCTAAATTATTCGAAATTAGTAAGAGGATAACTCTTGGGAGAGGACGAGACGGGCGATTTGTGGCAGAGCAATGCCGCGTGCCCCTGACCACGCGCGTGTCCCAGGTGGTGCTGGTGCTGTGCCACCTCCGGCCCCAGTACTCGTTCTCCCCCGGCCGCTCCAAGCAACCGCCCCAGATCCTGGGCATGGTGGCCATGGCCATCGCCCTGCCGCCGCCGTCGGTCAACGAGGTGCGCCTAGAGTGCGACATGTTCGTCATGAGGCTCACCTTCGACTTCCGCATCGCACACTGCGAACCCAGGTGAGCGACAAGTCCAGCGCGCCAGAAGGAGCCTCCTCGACGCTTTCAAGAAGAACAACTCAAATTTTAGTTTACTCCTCGAATATTGTCTCGTAGGTCGAGGGCAAAGTCAACAAAGCCGCAGGAGCTTCGCCTCGTACTACAAGAGAGTATCACGCCGGTGATGAAAGGAACTACTTCCAGGGGGCTGGTTACGATATTGGTGGCTACAAACGTCCGGCTAATTGATATCGCAATTGAACATTTCAAAAACATTAGCTGTCGCCATTTTTGGGGCAGGAAGCGCGTGATTGGATACTCGCCGCAAGCTCCTTCTTGATACGAGCTGAGCCAAATTCACTCCGAACGCAGCCCTCCTGTTCAATACGTACCTAAACAATGCTGGGCTTGGATAACTGGTACAATCTCTACTAGATGGCGCACACTTTAGAGAAGGACTTGACAGCTCGCTTCAGCAATGCAGCTGATGAGCGGATGTTCAGGCCGACGCTCGGTGGGAGCGGTTATTCTCGCCACCGGCATGAGGCACGCGCGTAGCCCAAGGTCGTACGCTCCCGCGGCTTCCCCGGCTCTGTCTACGATTGTAGCAATTACGTCAGATCCGCTTAGCTCAGTTGATTGCGTGCCAGCCACTCCAGCCTCGTTCTCTAGGTGCTCTAATATACATATTGCTAAGTTACCAAAGCGTCAAGGAGAATTCGGGGATTGGTGTTCTACGCGCCGCACGTGCTGGCCTCAGCAGTAGTAACTTTTCTAAAGCAAATGCCTAAAACAAAGTGCATCTTGCACGGGCGTGCGTAAACGCTTTATTATGGGTATTTACTTCGACTCTTTTATACGGGGAAGGCGTGCGTGTGTGGCGCGCGGAACACCAATCCCAGCATTCTCCTTGATGCTTGGGTAATTTAGCTATTGGTATATTCGCGACTGGCGTGCGCTAAGGTGACAACTCGAAAGCGTTCTCAGATACGAAAGTTTGAAAGAGTGACTTTAAAGGTCCCCGCCTAGAACCTTCTCGATTTCCGGGAGGCTAGAAAAAAACCATGGCCGACCATGCACAGTAGTCAGCCACCCTTTCGTTTCCATCTCAGGATGTAGCAGTACCTTTGCGTTCTAGTTACATGCCCAAGTTCGCCTTTTTAAAAATTTATTTACAGATTTCACATCCGCCTACTCTTTTTTTTTTTCGTGACAATATAACCGTGTTAATAGAGATCGGAAAGAAAAATGCAGGAGGAAACGAGACAACAAAGGACAAAAACAAAGGAGGCGCTTTTTTTCTTTTTGCAACAAAACGTTTGGCCGAAAGACAGTTGTAAGTTTACGAACCTTGAATGTAGGTAGTCCTCCAAACCCATACAAATTCGGACAGCAATATGTCTAATTGACGAGGAAATAATATAAATGAACAGCAAAACTTCGAATGATATGTGAACCAATGCCTCTCTCTGACGTCATGACGGGATGACGTCACTCTTTATATTGATAATGCTTCGTTATTACGAGGAATATTAAAAAAAGCTGCAGGTGCTGCCCTCGAAAATTTACCGTGAAACATGTTTTCAGTGGAATACTCTCACCAACATCTTCGTAGGGCAATAAAATACCCATGATTATATTATTGATGGAATTATAATGATGCGTTGGTCCGTAAACAAGATGAACGGTTAATTAAATATGTATTTTTAACTAAGCGTCGATTATGTTGTGTGTGTGTTGTTATTGTTGTTTTTTAACTTTGTGGGATTCCGCACCTTGCGAACTAAGCTGGCCAGCCTGGATATGTGTATTTTAGCTTCTCTGTCAATCCTTTATACAGAATATTTAATATTGCGGAAGAATTCCGGCGGCTTTATTGATGGGCCGTACTTTACCTTTTCTAATCATGCTAAAATTTGCCGCACGAAATTGAGCCTTCTTTAATTCTTGAGAAGACTATGTACTGATACAAATAGGCACATGTAAAGAATCCAACAATATTTCCTTCTATATAGACACCTTTGATTAAATTACTTCTTGGTAATATAAACGGCAACCTGTCTCATGCAATGCATTCTTGTAAAAGATATCTACAGTATAGTGTAGTAAAAATGCAAAAAAGATTCTTCCTTTTCTTCGTTTTTCTAGTGTCATGGCATTGTGATGGCGTGATTAGTAAAAGAGAAGACACGGAACAGGAAATCAGATTAAAAGGCTTCAGGTCTTTGCCTTGCCTTCCCCCTTTCCTTCCCTTAAAAAAAATAGTCCCGTTATCTACGGGAAGAGGTTGTGCCCCATACATTCAGGTTGTATTGCTAATTGACCACGTCGCGAAACGGGTTGATCCTTTATTCATTTGTTGTTCTTGATGCCGTGCACGTCAACAGCAAGTTGTCTTTTGGCAATGATACTCTGTGTGCAGAATAATCAACGTGTTTCCCGTTTGACCACAAGCTCATCTTTTTCCGTGACCAGGATCTCGGAGCTTTTGGACTACACACCAGAAGATCTCACGGGGAGGAACATGTACACTCTCTGCCATGGCCAGGACATCCAAAAGCTCAGAAAATGCCACGTCGACTGTGAGAAAATTTGAAATGTTTATTTTCTTTCGAAGAATGTATGGTCGCGTATCTCTGAAGTACTTATTTCCTGTGAATGCCCACAGTGATGAACAAGGGTCAGGTGATGAGCGGCTACTATCGTCTAATCAACAAAAATGGAGGCTTCACGTGGATGCAGACGTGTGCCACAGTCATCTGCAACAACAAGAACTCGGAGGAGCAGAGCATCATCTGCGTCAACTATGTCCTCAGGTGGCTCATCTATATTGTTTTGTTCGTATTTTCGTTGTTGTTTTTGTTTTTGTTCTTTGTCGCGCCAACCGCGGCACTGGTAGCACGTGCAAGACGTCAGCGGTTTTTGCATGTTACTTTGATAGCATTGACTCTTAGCACTTAGGCTGGTTCCCCAAATGAGCACTTTGTACAGAACTACTAGATGTGATGACCGTCCTTCGATACTAAAAAGACAACTGGAACAGCGACTGCTTGTTCCAGCAGCAGTGTCGTACTCCGGAGATTCGTTTATTTGTGCAATAAGCAACATGTTTACATTCGGCTAGGAAAACTATTTCGGACGTTCTACTGTTGGTGACAGGCTAAGAACTGGCATGAGGTTTATTTTGCCCCCCCCGTTCACGTTTTTTTTAATATTAATAATAGCTGCACTGAACATAAAGATATATGCAAATACAAAAAATGCATGCAAAGTACATAAATACATAAATACGTGCAAAATAGAATATATAAAAATACGCGAGCGGTATATCGGTTTATTTGTTTCTTTGCCGTTGAAGAAACAAATAAGCTACCATTGGCCAGGAACTAAATGTAGGCATCCTCCAGGTATGAATGCCTTGAGGTTTTTAATCTCTTCAGTTGTCTGTACATTAAAAATCCGTTTTAATTTATATCTATAATTATAAAATATATTTTAAAATAAAATATGTCGCGAAATAAAAACAAATAATAAATCACAATAAATAACTCGCTAAACGTCGTAAAAGTTTCGTGTAGTACATCGACATAGACAAATATAACAAAAAGTAATTAAATAATTTTAGTATATTCATAGGCCTCACTGATGGACGTCATACGACAACACGCACACATTCCGACAAACACGGGAGACCGTGGCCAGGTGACATTAGAGCAAGTCAGATTTTCAGATTTAAGAAGAAACATCAAAGTGAAAAAGAAAATCGAGCGGAGAATTAAGATCGTCGGAAAATTGCATTATCAAATGAGACGAGACCTTGTCCATGTCATTTGACGTTTTCGGTTAGCCTTCTTTCTTTTCTATGTCTGATTCTTATTGTGATCCAAGAAGTTTAATAGTGTAAATTTTCTAATGGCATCTTGTTTGCAGCAAGATAATTTGTAAGGTGAGGCCTGGAATGATTGTATCCCGTTAAATTAAACAAATTAAAAATTCTGCAAGCAACGAGCCAAAGGTCTCTAATTTAATTTTTTCTGTGTGGGATGTTAGCGACGTGTGCTTTGAATGAATATCAGCTGGGAGATTCCCGTCTGAGTGTTGGGTTTATGCGGATCCCGGATGAAGCTAACGAGTTTTGTTTCTGGTGCAGTGGCATTGAATACGAGAACTGTGTGATGGACTGCAGTCAGCTCAGGGGCGTGGGGGATATCAAGCCCGACGACCCCAGCAACTCCGAACGGGGCTCCACGCCCGACACCGAAAGCAGAGGTGGGAATCTTTCTTCGGGCGTATAGAGTGATGAACTATAAAGCAGAGAAACACAGAAAGCCATTATAGATCACAATTTCCAAAGGGCATAAAAACATTTGGAGACGCAACACAGACTAAAACAAATGCAAGTTCCTTGGTGGAAAATACTACATGAAATATGGAGGCTATCTTACTGTGTTTGAGCAAACGTTCAAATTGAAATTAAAGTTCACAGCGTCTTAACTCTTAACAGTACCGTAATTCATAGAAGTAAAACATAAAGTAATCACTCATCGTTCTCCGTAATAGAGGTAAAAGAAAATAACCACGATGAATAATACCTTAAGGGAAGCATCAAACAGTCGAGGTGGCAGAAAAAAAGGACAAGACGACGTCTTGTCTTTTCTCTTTCTGTCTCTTCAACTGTTTGATGTTTTCCATTTCTTATCACAATCACATGCATAATTTATCGCGGTTAACCTTCACCAGCTCGCTTGCACTCTCACTATTTATTCGATCAATGAACCACTCATCGTTCCTCGGGCGAGTCCCGGAGTCTCAACAAACAGCGGTGGCGCATATGACAAAGAGGAACCAGTAGGCTCATAGGTTCGCTAAACGAAGCTGTAAATAAGTGCCAGAGCTTAGAACTTCGCATTCATGTTTACACAGTGAAGGAATTTAAAGGACATGAAACTGAATTTGCTGTCCCTGCTTAATGCGAATTTCTCAGGAATGCCCGCGTTTCACGTGTAGATAGCACTTCTCGGTCGTTCAACCGGGTTCATTCATAGCCGACTGAGCGCTTCCCTCCTCCCCACGGCAGCGGAAGATCCTGCTCCCCGCGACGCCGCGGAACCCAGGCCGTCACCCAAGTCGCACGACGGTCACGTGCTCGGCAGTCAGGACGCTCCGGCAGCAGAGCACCTCACTCAGCTCGGCTCTGTGGGCAAGCTTGACTCGCTCAGAAACTCTAAGGTAAGAGCGCCATTTTGTTCCGTTACCTCTCTCGGCTAGTACCTTGTCTGACTTTCAGCCTAGTGAAAACCACGTTGATCGATTGACATGAGAATCTCGGCAGTTCTCACGAAATTACGACAGGTTGCGCCTCTAGAGTCACGGACAGAGTGAGGACAGCAGGGCGCATCTTTCGAACGCTGGGCCTAAAGCTCGTGCTCCGCGACTTGCGCCGTGCTTTGGTTGCGCGTGCGCTCGAGGTGCCCGAGATGTCGTACAGTCGTCGATGGCACGAAAATAGCCTCCGATACACCGACAAAGCTTGGCAGATCGCCACGAGAAGCGGCCGCCGAAATGGAAAAAGTGAAGCGGCAGACAATGGGATGAGAGGACAGCCACGTGACTGGCGCCCCGCTGCGGCGAGACGCCGAAACACACTTCTCCCGATCGAACAAGCGTGCTTCGGGTCATCACCGCTGCAAAAGCTGTGCGCTGCCGTCCAGGTCCCCCGAGAAATGGCTCTTTGATGCTCCGTGCTACCAGATCCTCGCGCTCCAAATATGCGACCAGGCACTCTATGGTTCCGTCGTCGAACTGCCAGGCTTTGTGAGTATAGAGGAGGCTATGGTACGAAGCTCGTGCTGGGGGCGGGACAACTGAAGCTTCTTTCTGTCGTTCTCACCTTGTCAGTGACTATAATAGCGGAAGTCTGAGCCTGCTCGGTCCACATCTTTGTCGGCGCTCTTAATTTCCGCCAACCGTAGAAGCATCATTGTCGAAGCGGAGCGTCGAGTCTTTGCAGGGATTAACATTCCCTTAGCCTAATGTAAGAAAACAAAATTTGTACTTCCTGTAACCCACACTAGACTGCGTTGCAGTACTTCAAACCTTGAGCGTTAAACATGCGATATTCTAAACATTTTGCTATCCATGGATATCGCCATACTGTACGTGGTGCACGATTGTCGCTTCTGTTGGTTGGTCTTCAAGTAAAACCTGTACAGAAATGATAGTCGGAGGTCATGTACGGCACTAGCAATGTCCAGGAACATGAATTTCTTCTTTCAATCATTTCAAGAATCGATGATCGCGTTAACACGTGTTCAAGTCTAAGCAGTAGTTGTGTGATATAAAATTCTAAATTGAGCCATAAACGAACATGGTTTTATAAACTAGATTACTTAACCTGCGCTAAAACTATTTATTTAAAAATAACTTTGCCAGAAAATGTGTGCTTTAGTATCTTCTTTTGTGGGATAGTGGAATTACTTCAAGCTCCCACGCCCCGCCTCCACCCCCCCCCCCCCCCCCCTTTACCTGTCTGTGTTCCACGAAAACAGATATTGACCTCGAAAAGGCAGCTGAGTAAATTCGTAGGTCATGACAATCAGATCATTCGCGCACGCATATAAACACGTCAGAAAATATGTTTCTCTACATCGAGTATTTCTTCGTCAATATCAGCAACACCAACTGAAGTAAAATATGCCACCGTTGTTACTTCGCACGTTGAGGAAGCTAACAAAACATTACGGACAGGACCAAACTTCCATGTAGAAGTCTGATTCCGTCTGTCCTTTCCTGTTTAATATTTGAGTTGTTTTTTTTTTACATTTGGCAGTGTCTGTGCAATGCCGGCTACTCCATTGCAGTCAATACATCTGAATAAAAGCACATAAGTTCTACAATATACGCGATGGTCTGCATGAGTTTCTATAAATATACATATATGCAGATAGAAGTGTACACAGATTGCACTGGAGACATAGGAGTCATCGCACCACATACACAAACAGATCATGGGAGTCATGCATGATGAATAGTTCCGTGCTAGGTTGGTGTTCACAAGGAAGTCTGGTACGCGTACAGCTCCTTTCGGTGAATTGTCGGAGTGGACCATGGTCCTAACACATCGTAGAACGTAGATGGTCAATTGCCGATCAATTGAAATCTCTTATTGAGTTTATTGCGTTCCCTTGAAATTAATTCACAATGAATTATTAAGTGTACTGTGCCCTCTTCTTTTTGCCCACAAAAACAATCAGCGGATGATATGCGGGATAATAGAGAGTTTTAGGGAACCGGTTTTGCACATCCGATGTGGTACGATGGCGGTGGCATTCAGTTCATCGAACTCCGATTCATCGACAGATCGTTTCATCGACACGTGATGTTTCATCCACAAATTGTTTCATCGATAGATAGTTTCATCGACAGCTCAAATTAGCTTGTTTCTGTAATGAGCCGCCGCAGATTGTCGCCGCGAAGCGGCGTGAACGGGTGGGTAGGTTAACGCGCACCCCAGTGCTACACGCGTGACGAAATGTCCCTACAGCGTGCAATTCGCGTAAGGAGTGTCAACGAAACGTGTGTCCATGAAAATTTGTCCACGAAACAAGTTTCGACGAAATGATAGGGACCCAAGGCCCATCGTACCGCATTGGTTGTGCAGAAACGGTACCTCTCTATTAATGAGAGGAACGTTTTTGGTAAATGGAACGTTTGGGCCCAATCTATGAATGGATGTGTCCAGATGACGTGGTAAAGCGGTGTGTGTTGGAAAAATGTTTGTTGGGGTCAATATCATAAAGTTTGGAGGTTGTCCGTGTTCATCATATCAGGAGTCATGGCATTCCTTGTCCCGGAGCTTATATATATATATATATACCGGGCGCTTCTTTTGTATATACAAAAGAAGCGCCCGGTCGCAGTACCGCACCTGCATAAATTGTTTCACAGTTTAAAGCAAATCGCCTACAGGTATGATGTCCCCGTGGTGTTTTCGGCCCACCTAAGGTTATCCAAGACCTGCGCAAAAGTGGGGTCCGTCCTCGACAACCGTTTACGAGCCGTATGCCACAAGAGGCACAAGAACAAGTTCGTTACCTGCACGGACGGTGCGATCTAAAAGATCCCTCTGACGTGTGGTAGATGCTATATAGGACAGACTGAACGATGCGTCAACGACCGGCTTAGAGAACATTTCTATTCACTTCAAGCCACGGTAGGCGGGCACTTGCCTAGACACTGTCGTTCCTGCCAGTGCACACCGACTTTTGGTGAAACAACTGTTCTTGGGAGATTTCAAGACCGGACTACACGAGAGATCTACGAGGCTTTCCAAATCCAAAAAATAGGACAGCAATGCGTCAGCCAGCCATCCGTGTCGCTGAGCGCTAAGGAGGTGTCGTTTTTGGTCAACAGCTATGCGCAGTAACTATGGCCGGCCAAAGGTGAAATCAACAATGCAACCTTGAACGCAAGGCTTCCATCTTTGGTGAAGCTATAAAATATTAGCATTTCTTGGGACGCAGCAATGCTTTCGGCAGCCATGATGTTTGGATTCACTCTCCAGAATGATGATACAGGATCGGTTAGCTTTAACACAACAGGGATTCCAAATGGGCAGTCCTTTGTATAAGAGAAGGAAGTGAAAGGCGCTCTACATACATCTTCATTGTTCTCCATTCCAGTGAAGGATTAGTTAGAGATTGCTTCATCATCGTAATCTTCCATGTCGATAAGTGAACGCCTCACAGCTTGATCTTCATTTAAGACTTGACTTTGTGTGCGGATCTAAAAGATTCAGTGTTTCGGGTTTGTTGACAATAAATTGTGTCGATGAACGGAGTGGGACCTGTATTAAGACATTCAAGGTGGGAGCGCTAGACGAGAGATGGCGTTCTCTCCTGCGCATGAGCACTAGGCGCTCATGTAGATTTCAGTTGCAGGGTTCGATCGCAGCAAACTTTTTAATGCAAATACAGTAATCAGAGTGAAAAGGTAAATTATCGGGATGAGCGCAAGGAACAGTAGACTTGCCTGTTGGCTTCGTCCACGTAGCAGAGCGCATTAGATAAACTATAGTTCACACAGAAAGAAAAAAGAACTGAAATGACCCAGGGAAAGACAGTTCTTTGAAAGAACTGGGAGTGTCTCTCCTTCGTCCATTTCAACGTTTTACCCTCCCTGTGTAAACTATGGCTTCGTCGTCGTTCTTTTTTCCACTCGATTATTTTTTTCGCTTCCTCAGCGTGTGAGTTACCTACGGCATATGACACAAGAGTACTTGATGAAGAGAACGTTTTTTTAATTATTATTTTACGTCTGCGCATTTTCGTTTGAACGACTTTATTATCACAACCTACGAATTTGCTGAGTTGCTTACCTGAAGCCTGCATCCGTTTTGAAGCAGCAAAGATGGAAGCGGCTGTCGGATCTCGTAGGAAGAGTATATACAAAGAGTCTCGTCTTGTCTTTATTGCTATCTCAGTTCTAGTTCCTCGAGTATTGCAGGCATCCGACCTATCTCCATTTAATGCATGTTAATTTCTTCGTGTTATACTACTGCATAAGGGGAGAAATCCATCAACTAACAGGCAGGTTATTGTCGCGGCTAGCGTCGTCCTCGACCACTAACCGGCGCTGCCCTCGGGTGCAATCCTTGCTGCAGATTCGGGGCACGAGGCGGTCCGATTCAAACTACGCTCAAATGACCTGCCACCCGTATGTGGACACCTTCCAGGTTAGAGCTCGTAGACATGCACGACGCCCGCACCGAGTAGTCCCTCCCCACTGCACACCCAACCTTGGCTTAGAACGGCTGCCCGCTCTCCGCACCTTTGACCCCCACGCTTCACTTGCACTTGTACCTTTTCTCTTACTGCGGTACTTAGGTAGTTATATCAGGTGAACAGCGACCAATTCTGCCGTCAGCCTTTTGATGTGTGGCGCTTTTCGATGATATCGTCACGTGACTTACTTAATTGCGGCCGTGGTGTCCTTCAATTTGCATTTCCAGCAAATTCCATTGTTCCGTTGAAAACCTTTGAAACGAGAAGAAATTAAGAAAACAAATTAACGCCACATTTGATTAATTTTTTCTTCCCGATGGTACACCACGGAGATATGTTTGTCATGTGTGCTTTGAAAGGACTAATTCTGGCCCAGTTCCACTAGTAAAAAACAAATCAACATCAATGTATTAATATAAAACCAGCAGCGTTCCGGCAGTACCAATTGTTTCCGAACATTTTTGTTTGTCGCCAGTTGGTGGCGCACAAACATAACGAAGGTTTCTGAGGAGGTGCATGTTTACGAGTGGGGTTTGTTCGGTGTTCGTCTAGTTCGAGAACATAGACAGTATCCGGACAGACGATAGGAGCATCGCGTGTTAGAATCCCACTTTGCCACCAATTGGATGCACGCGGCGCGTGCATGCCTTTGCGAGGACTTCAGTGTAGTTGCACTTGAACGACGAGTCCTTCGGTGCTCATGCGGAGGACTCGCAACCGAGGCCCTAGACGAAAGTGAGTCGGCACTTCTGTGTCGTCCGTCGCGAGTTCTCACCGCCAGCGCTGCCCAGTGTGCCTGCCCCGTTCCCTCGTAGCATCCCCTTTGCCCGCCAAGTGGGCCTAGCCGTGACCCGTGCCCCGACCCCGCTGTCCCTTGCAGGAAGGCTCCTCCCCGAGCCCGGCCCGATACGAGGCGCCCAGCAAGAACCAGCGCAAGCGCGGCTCGGATGAGGTGTCGGGCAGCCGCGGCAGCCCTAAGTCGTCGCGGCCGGGCAGCCGATCTAGTCTTCAGCCGCCAAGCCCGGCCCGCAGCCTCCCCGCGCCCGAGGGCTTCCTGGCCCGCGACGGCGACGCCGACGCCGCGGGCGGGCGGCCGTCTTCGGAAGGTCCCGGGGGCGAGGACTCGTGCGACGGTCCGGACGGCCTGTCGCGGCCCTGGAAAGGCGGGGGCCAGGCTTCCTCGGGCGAAGGCTTGACGGTGCGCGAGCTCGAGGACGCCATGAAGAAGCATCTGCCCGAGGTGCGGTCGGCGGCTCGCTCAGCGGCCATCCAGTGGATCGGCGGCCCGCAGAGCGGCGCCGCCGGCGGCCCGCTGCCCGCGTCCACGCTGCTGCGGCAGCTGTACGTCAACCGCGAGTCGGTGATCCGGTCCGGGTCGCACGTGAGTGCCGCCTCGCGGCCGACGTACTACGGAGACGTGCCGACGCCGCCCGACGGTCCCTGGACCAGCCCGGAGGCGTTCGTGCTCCCGTACGCGGGCTACGTGGAGCCGCCGCCGCCCTTCTCGGCCGTCACGCCGCCGTCGTCGGTGTCGCCCCGTGACAAGCAGCTGGGCCTCGCCGAGAGCCCTGCCTTCTCGGAAGCGGCCGCCGTGGCCGCCGCTGCCGCCATGCCGCACATGCGCCACTACGTGTCGGACCTGCCGCTCAAGCCGCAAGTGCTCGTGCACCCGGGAAGCCTGGAGTACGCGTCGCCCCAAGAACAGCCGCTCTACGCCGGCGGCTTCCACCTGTACGGCAAGCCCAACGGGGCCTGGTACTCGCAGCAGCCCAACTCGTAGCCGAGGGCGCCTCGACACCCCTCGAGCCCAGGGCGTACGCTGACGCGGCCGAGGGGAGTGCGCGAAGTACGCCCACCGCGAGCGCGATACCGCGTTCGTGACCACTCACGACCCCGTGATTCTCCCGGACATTCCTCCATCCTGTACATAGCGATTCACGCGTTCCAAGCGGTTCCCTTCCCTCTCGTGCGTGCGTGTGTGCTTACCGGTGCGACTCGGCCTTTTCCGTTGGTTTCCCCCGCGTTATTGTGCTTAGGCGACCACGTCTCCCGTGCGTCGAGCGTAGCTGCGCTTGCACGGTCGGATGCTGGCAATTGTGATACGAAATTTATATATAGATATAAGATATCTATATTATATATACACAAATATAAATAGACGCTATAGAAGATGTGCAAAGCGAGTCATCAGCACAAGTCAAGGGCAGTCAGATCGGAGATTTTCCCCCAGGGTGCACCCAGCTCCAAAGTTCCCACATCAGGCGGTCGCTGCTGGCCGGCCCTCGGTTGTCTGACGAAAATTTCCCTTCGCTTCTCCGTGTGCACCGCCGAGTCGGATTAGCAGTGTGTGTCCATCTCCAGAGACCCGTGGAAAACAAAGCGCCAACTGGCTTCTCGTCAAAACGTATTTGTGAGAAGAAAAAAAAAACGATGCAACAAGAAATAAAAGACATGACTTCACACGTTGGGATTCTTGACCTGGATATAGGTACATCTGGAGTGATTGAGATACCAAAGAAGCTGTGCTGGCTACACGTCCAATTTTCAATGCTTCTGATCACCGGCTGACCCGCCAATTTTTCAGTCTCTTTGCCCTTGAGTGCTCACGCAGATAAATTCTCTGTAAACTAAACCGCAAATCTCAAAAAAGGGTGAAAGGTAAGGTGAAAGGTAAGAGGGAGAAATACTAGGACAACCTCAAGGACGGCGTGTAAGACGACGTCGTTGACGACGTCCCAGAAGGACATCAAAGACGACGTCTGGGAGGACCTCTAGGGCGATCTCAAGGACGGCCTCTAAGAAGACGTCGAGGACGACGTCTTGAACGACCTCTAGGGCGATCTTAAGGACGACCTCTAGGATGACCTCGAGGATGACGTCCTAGACGACAACGTCAAAGACGTCGTCTAGGATGAACCTTTAGGGCGATCTCAAGAACGACCTCTAGGACGACCTCAAGGACGACGTCAAGGTCGTCAGGTCCTTCGAACAGGGTTGCAAATGTGAAGGAGTGTGAGAATGTGAGTTGAAAGAGTCTTGCGCATACACACTGTGCATTAGGTTTAGGAGGCAAGAAAGTACAGGCAAACCGAGAAAGGGGAGGGGGGGGGTTAAAGAATGCTATCGCGATAAAAGGTCTTCATCGGCAACTACCTATGGTGTGGTCGAAAGTTGCCACAGATGTATCGACCCCTAGGGAGAAAATGACAACCCCACACAAAGTCAAATCTACCTGAATGCGCGTTTGGTGCTCCAGGAGCTGCGAAGGGCAGGCACACACGTGCAAGAATGGATAACTCGCGTCGGTAAATGTAGGCACGGGCAAGAAGCGATCAAAAAAGTCGCCCGCACTTTGTGAAGTAAAAGCGATAGCTGTATACCACGGTGGTGCAATGTGGGCGAATTCGTGCTGCCCACGTACGTGAGGACGGAGTTACGACGTGGTTGACTCTCATTGCCATCGTGGTTGGCGTCGTGGACGCCTCTGACAACCGCCACGAGTGCTCGGTGATCCGTGAAGTGGGTGAGCGCAGTAGAAGTTTCTAAAATCATCCAACATTACGCGTAGCAACTGGATACTGCCAAAGTGCATGGGATTTCGTATAAAGCGAGTAATGTTTGAAAACAAGAGTTCGGAGCAGACGACAGGAAGGCTCTCCCTTCGTCGCGCCTTTACTGGCGGGGCGCCGGAGCTCGTCTTTTGTCTCTCCGCGCGTCGCGGGCGACGGGAGGACCCGAGTATACCCTGGCCAGGCGTCAGGGCCGCCGGGGCGCGGTGCCCCGGCGGCCCCCGTGGAAAGATGGTGCAACCAGCCTCTGCTGCGTCGCGCGATGACGGCGCAGCAGAGGTTGGTTTCACTATTTCTCCACGGGGCGCGGTGCCGCCGGGTCCGAGATGCGCTCCGATCAGGGGGGGGGAAGGAGGGAAAGGGAACGCGGCGCAAAGCGGAGGCTGCCATAATAGGGAGTTTTCGTAGACCGCGTTTCCCCCTCCGCTAAGCCCTCCGCAACGAAGCAGCCGCTACTGCGCCGGCGCGCCGACGGCCTTGACTGTGGAGTTCCGGCTAGCGTAACTGCTTGCGGAGAGCGTTGCGGGACAGCGGAAACGATCTACGAAAACTCCCTATTAAAACCGCTTACGTTGCCAGCATAGGTTTTGCAGCGGAGAAGTTGCTGCCATATACGGCGGACTGAGTTTTACTTTGTTTTTCGTTTTGGAACGAGAATGTATTGTTGTGTTACATAAGTCCTCCTGCATACAGACAACGAAGTTGAATTATATTTGTCTTGTTTACTTGGTTTGAAATCCTAGAAACGGGTTTTTGACGACTTATTGCTTTCATCATTTTGGAGTACGCAAGGCAGTTATCTCGCTGTTCTGGTTTCGGTTACGAAAGCAAGGCAAAACGCTCGTAGTTCCCGCCCTCAATACACGTTGGACACCTTCCACACTTTGACACCGGATAACTGTATGAACAAGGATTTACATTTACTTCAGAGGTAACTTTCGCCGCTTCCTCACCGTCGAGCAGCCGGATCAGCTGGCGGCAAGCCGCGGACGAAAGGCTTGAGCATCAACAGCCTAGAGCCACCACAACAGCCCAAGTGCACTCAGTGCCGATGCAGGCGACGCGGGCTTCTGTCAACCCAGCGGCGGACCCAAGAGGGGGGCGACAAGGACGGCCGCCGCCCACCCCCCCCCCCCCCCTGCCCCCTTCTCAGAGGGCGATTTGACGTGGGTGGATCCCCCCGAAATAACACCAACTACCGGCCTGCCAGGTGGTAAAAGGCTCGGTACTCAAGGACGAGGGTTCGAAATAGGGTAGGCCGCACCCTAGCAGGCACACTTGTACTCTGAACTTGGAGAACCACTCCGTCGCTTCAACCGAGACTGAAGTCCGCGGCGGCGGCTTCAAAGCACGGCTTAGAACCAAAAGTCGGCGCAGCGGCGCACATCTAGGGGCCGTCGGTGCACTGTGGTTCTGCGGCGGTTAAAACAAAAGGCGCAACCCGAGTCCTGTCTATCTCGCTTTAGATTTTCCCTCTCCCCCTCAAAAAAAAAAAAAAAAAAGAAACGGAGTTCTGGATCCGCCTGTGTCAACCGGTAGCCCAGCACAATCCGTGAACGTTCCAGCTCTTCGCCACGACACGGTGTTGCAGAAAACAGGGTAAAATACAACTACACGGACCACCGAATCAAATGCACTGTTATCGTAAATATTGGCTTGTGATTGCGGCTTTGTAGATCATCTTATTCGTTTTGCTAGAGAGACGCAACCGACGGGCGTAACAAAATCGTTTGTGTATTCCGCATAAAAGCACTTACCCAGTCACCTTGCGAAAAGCGCGAAACACGGAGTCCGCACCGCCCCGACTTAGCAGTCTTTTACCTGCTTTACAGCAGTTTGTACCTGCTAGTAGGCATGTCTACTGAAGCTGCAACATGAAACTAGGGGCAATGCCAGAGAGAAAAGAGACAAAGTTGGGAAAGCATGCTCGCTCTCTCCAATTTCTGAACTCTCAAGTGATTGTACCATAATAAATTCCCCAAGACCTCTTTCCAAAATAAAGAAAAAACGCTATGTTCACTACGTAAAAAATGGTCTCAGTTCATGCATCCGCAAGCAGGTAGGAAACGTTGCCCTAATTTATTCACACCACATGACGAGCGCAACAAACTCACACGAGATTTACAAGAAAATATCGGTGGTGACTTAAGTTTCCCTGAAATTCTGTATGACCGGTCGTTTGCAGGACCGATTCATCTACTCGGGCGGTGTGCGTCGCTGTACAAACGCCAACAACACGAAGCATAAAAACGGCAGGTCTAGGACAACAATCCGGAGTCCATTGTTCAATTAAAACGACGTAATTTTGTTGAAAACGCCCGCAGCTTTTTACTCACGGTATGCGTCGAGAACCTTCCACATTTTGAAACGGAACGAAGGAAGATTTACTTTTAAAAGCGCTCACTGCGTCCTCCCGGACCAGCTGGACCGGATCAGCTGACGACGACGGGAATGAAACCGCTGAATTTCAACCCCACAATAACCAATTTGCGCTTCGTGTTAGTATGGGCTTCTACCTCCAAGCACCGCACCACACACCACGAACGTTTCAACTCTTTGCCGCATCGCCGTGTTGCACCAAACCTATCTCTATGCACCAAACAGAACGAGATCGCCGAAGTCAACGGAGCGCTGTCGTGAACCTTGGCTTGTGGTTGCGCACTCGTGGACCCTGTGGCTCCCTTCGCTTTCAGAGCACACACGACGATTACGAATGATGCTTTCCGTCTTCCGGAACCATCAAGGGGCACTTCTCCGGTCACGTCTTCGCTACATGTGCTCGAAAACCGCGTCAAACGTGGTCAAACCGAAGCTGCCGAAGCAATCCCGGCGCCATGTTGAACGTGCGTTGTTGCTAGATTTTCTCCGACCAAACAAAAACAACGAAAGCAAACCGGCTCTAGCTTCCAGCGTACATCGGCGTTGCGCCGTGGCCAGATTTTCTCCGTCAGCTCTAACTTAAAGATGACCTACAGATGCAGCAACACTGGTATCAAGTTTTAACATGGCGGCCCCCACGGAGCGCCGTAAATTCTGAGGAGGGTGCATTGGAAGCGGCGGCACCTTCCCCCCCCTGGCTCCGATAGCAAATCGAAACTTAAAAACCCGTCGAATTTGTGCGGTTTTTCAGAAAGCCATAAAATGCTTCGCGTGCCTTCTATCGTTCTGCAATTTGTTGGTTTAGTGTTTTTTGGTGATGCTGAGCAATTTTCTAATTGAAACCATGCCCTTAAGGCTGCGGTCCCACGGCAGCCATCTTGAACAAGGCGTTAGTTCAACCAATAGATGGCGACACATTGGTTCACAGTGGGATGGCTCGAGCACCATCACGGTCCCCTCGTGGCCTTGCTCGCGCCGCTGCCAGCTGTGCTCAGCTAGCTCAAGTAGCGTGGCCTATCAAACGGATGTATGCGAGAATGTCAGGCTGGGTATAAATTATTCTCTGATATAGGGACATGCGGTTCGGCGGTTGTAACGGGCTTTCGCAATAAATCTTACCAAGAAGGAATCAAATGTTGATTGACGTGTCAATATTCTATTAATGAAAATTTCCTCTGCAGGAATGCACGCTCAGTAGACTCAATCTTCCAAGACACTAGTGGAAGCGGACCTCAAGTAAACTGCTTCGCGATTTACGGTACTTACCTCACCATTTTAATGACGACTAAAAAAAAATCACAAAATATTTGTTTCACGGGGTCAGGAAGATGTTGTAAAGGTTGTTACATTATAGGGGGTTCCCAGAAAACACACGCCGTTGCAATAATTTCCGAAGTACCGACACACATAATGTTGTAAGTACAGCTTAGGAGGAATATGATGAAACCATCAGAAGAAATAGGAAGACGTTTATTTTCAATGATGACGCTATGAATGAACGGCGTTTAGCGA